TGCTACCTAACATATTCATGTCAGGTGCTAAAAACCCCTTGTTTTTTAGCGATGCCTAGTATTCCATTGTTTGTACATACTAGTTTCTTTACTCGTTCTTTACCCTGTTTTGATTCATTTCTTTACAGTGCACCCTCAGCAGGAGGATTGCTGGATTGTCTGGAATTTCTATTCATAGTCTTTGAGATAGACCATATCGTGTTCCACAGTGGTTGTGCATATTTACAGTGGGATTACAGTGGGATGCATTATAGGAGCAGTTTTTAAGGGTTTCGGTCTTTCTGCAGTCTCTTCAGCATTTGTGATTTGCTGTTACTGTGCTTACCTGTCAGGGTTCAGGTGGTTTTGATGTGCATCTCCCAGATGACTAGTGACCATGAGCATTCCTTCATATGCTTGTTTGAATGCCATCTTTGGTGAATTGTCTGTTCATGTCCTCTGCCCTGTTTTTAATTAGGCGGTTCGTCTTTTTCTTATTGAAGTAGTACAGTTTTCTATAGATTTTAGCGAGTAGTCCCTTAGCCATTGTGACCTTGTCCAAAAATTTTCCCCACTCTGGGCTCTCATTTTACTCTGGATGCACATAAGTGTTTTGTTTTTTATTTTTAGTAGATCCCAGTGATCTACTGTGTGTGTTTCCTTTGTTATATTTGATAGTGGAGTCTATACCCTGCAATAGGGCCTTACATTTGTCCTTATTGTCTCATAGATTATCTTTATAGCTCTGCATTTTACATGTAGGCTTTCAGTCTCATAATTTTTCAATGGAAAAAAAATCCACACTATCAGACTATATACAACTTTTCTCTGAAAGTGCAAATGAGCTTCAAATTATGACAAATACTTGTTAACTCAATTCAACAACAGTAAATTACCTAAAAGATCTTGAAACCCTCTTGTGAATTTCCTTTAGGATCTGGTGATACCACCCCAAAGGTGCACACAAAGATGGATGGCAACAATTACAGTGACGTGGTTGTTCAGTTTTTCAGAATTCTGGTCAAAAGAATTCGATTCCTTGTAGCGTCCCTGAAGAAGTCCTTTTTTATATGTTGGGCTGCTAACTGAACGCCCAGCAGTTTGAAACCACCAGCCTTTTCTTGGGAGAAAGAGGAGGCTTTATGTTTCTGTAAGGACTTAAAGAGAAACCATAGGAGGTGTGGTCCGTGTCCTATAGAGTAATGGTGAGTCAGCATTGACAACGCAGTGAGTTTAGTTTTTTTGTGGGTTTTTTTTTTTGTAGCAGCCCTCACCAGCATGCACATAAACAAAGTGACTCAGTTCTCACTGAAAATAGAATTACCCCATTTAATGCTGAAATGAGCACTATTTTCCAACTATTTTCACAACAACCAGACATACATAACCAATACTTGGAACCAGTTCTCTGCAAGAAAGCAAACAGAAAAAACGGAAGAAATCTCTAACAAGAAAACTCAACAATACTTAATAAGACTTAATATTAAGTCTTGAAAGGCCCCAGAACATGGATTCCTAAATCTAAAAGCACTTACCTCATTGGGTTCCCCGGGTCCATGGAATGTGGTGGGGCAAAATAGCACTTCCTCTGGCACCAACCCTTGATCTCTGGAAGATGCTACCAGGAAAGATGAGTTTGGAATCCTTCCAACTACATAAGAGACCTCCAAATTTAAATATGATTTTTAGAGACCGATTTATTAATTCATTAACAGAATAAAAACAAGACACAATCTTCTGGATAAGGGAGACCATCAGCATGAGGCCATAATGATGTCAAAGTTGCATAAAGTAGTGGGTTACAAGTTGGGCTCCTAACTCCAAAGTCAGCAGTTCAAAACTACCAGCTGGTCTGTGGGAGAAAGATGAGGCTTCTTACTCCTTTGAAGAGATGTAGTCTTGGGAACCCACAGGGGCAGTTCTACCCTGTCCCAAAGGGTTGTTATGGGTTGGCATGGTTTCGACAGCAAGGAGAGTTTGAGAGCTATTTATACAAAGCATGAGGCACAAAGGACACTTACAGAATCATGATTGGTGGCAGATCAGGTCATCACAGCTGCAGGTGGGACTACAGAGTTGGGGAAGGGGCCATGATTGGGATAGGCAGATTAGAAAATTTTACAAGATTGGTTCAGGGTCCTCTGCCCACCTTGGTAGGGGCATATATGACTCATAACCATAGGCTTTAATTCTATGAGGGGCACAGCCAGTTCCTGAGGGCAAGGCTGCCTCTCCTTGGGCTGGCAAGGGAAGCCACAGGAGCTACTTAGAACTCTTTATTTTGCTTGTCACTGGTCAGAACTCACCGGAGGCTGAATCTATATGGAGACTTAAAATGGATTTTAGGACTCTTACTGTAAATTGTAGCCACTCACAAACATAGTGCTCAGAATTGAAGTTCTAATATAATAATACATAACTCCCCACGAGTATGTTTTTGAGCCAAGCTTAATTCATCATTCTGCCCAAGGATTTTCAATTTAAGTTAATAGGCCATTTGCTATTGAGGTGAGCCAAGTAACTCTTTGGAGAAATATGGGCTTATGGGATTTTGTAATACCCTGTGTTGCCATCCTGGCAGCTCTGAAGACAAATAGGTTATAGTCCCCTAGTAGTCCAGGGACAGCATGCTTACTTAGACTGTACTGTGCAGGCTTGCTTTAGGTCCCTAAACTGCTCCTAGCCGAAAACACCACCTGACTGTAAAAAATTAACGTAACATTGTTTTTTAAGTTGAAATGTAAGTAGTCTTACAGGCAACCACACAAATCATAAGGTAAAGCTGCCATTCTTTTGTACCACCTACGTCAAGAGATGGCTTATTAGCAGTGCCCCAAATATCTCCTCTTCAAAGATTGCTACTTTTCTGATTATAACACCATAAATTTGTTTTCTTTTTAAAGGTGGTATAAAATAACATGATGGTTTGGTTTCTTTAGTCAACATTGAGATTCATCCATGTTGTTACATGTAACAATACCCATTCATTCTTGTTTTATAGTATTCTGTTTTATGAACAAACCACTATTACTCCATTTGTGACGGACACTTGACTTCTATCCATTTTGGGGGGCTATTATGAATAATGGTACTATGCACTGTCTGTATTTCCTTTGGTATGCATGTACAAATTTCCATTTTACACACACACCCATCCACCCACTCTCCCTCCCTCCCTCCCTCCCTCTCACTGCCATCTAGTCAATTCTGACTTAAAGGAAACCTAAATAGAATTTCCAAGACTAAATCTTGAAGAGTAGTCTGATCTTTCTTCTGAAGGCTTAACCCACTTACCTGCTAGGATATGTAGGTGGGATTTGTAGTCACAAAGTATATTCAACTATCAACAGTTTCCAAAAGTGGTAATTCGAATTACCGTATATACTTGAGTATAAGCTGACGTGCCTAATTTTACCACAAAAACTGCATTAAAATGTGCTGAAAACTCGGCCTATACACGAGTATATACGGCATCTACTTCTGCTGGGGGTGCACTCACATTCTCCTTGTTCAACAGTCTCACCACCACTTGTTATTGTCAATCTTTTTAATTTTAGCCATTCTGGTAATGACAGTCTTGTTTTTAATTTGCATTTCCTTGATGACTTAATGAGGTTTAAGTTTGTATATGCTTTAGAATGCTTTTTAAAAAAAAGTATTTGCCTGTGGGGAAAAATTGTTATTTTTTTAAACCATTTGTTGAAAAACTCACCGCCATTGAGTTGATTCTAACTCATAACAACCATGTAGGTCAGAGTAGAGCTGTCTTTGTGGGAGCAGAGATTTCATCCCACCCCCACACATACCCCAATAGCAGCTGATGAGTTCAAACTGCTCCACCAGGACTCCTTACTGATTTGAGGGGGTATTTTTCACTCTGATACGAGTTTTGTGTTGGTTGTGTTAAATCTCTTCTTCCATTTTGTGGCTTTCACTTACATTCTTTATGTGCTGTGTGATGAGCATTGTGATCGATTAGTCTTTTGTTTAGTGATTCTTTGGTCCTGCTTATGATTTTTTATTCCAAAGTAATGAACATACTCTCCTGTATTACCTTCCAAAAGCCTTATGGTTTTAACTTTTATATCTGTAATACAAGTGGATTTTGGGTGGGGTGGGGTGAAGGATGTAAAGGTATCTCATTAATTATTAAATTAATCTTATCTTTCCTTAGTTCTTCAAGATCTGGGGCTTTAGACTACATTACAGGAGATGAAATTGGAGTGAATTGGGAATTGAAGCCATGCTACCTCACCACGGCACTTAGTCTTTATTATGTTCCCCTCCTGTTATCCCAATCACTTCCTACTTTACATTAATTCAATTTCTTTTTTAAAAAAATCATTTTATTGGGGGCTCGTACAACTAACTCAATTTCTTAACCTACCACTTAGTTGAGATAGCTGACAAAGCTTCCAGCAACCTACTTTCCAAATGGTGGTAATCCCCCAACCATGTGCAGTTCTTGAACACAGCCTGTCTTTCTCTGACCTTGGCACATCCTCAGACTCTTTTCTTCCTCTGTAAATCTACATAGTTTCATTTTGACAACCCGTTGGAAAAGTTCCATTAGAGCTGGTTGGGATAAAGCCCTTAAGGCTGAGGACACAGGCCTCAAGTTCCAAAGCAGGCCTGACCATTTCTCTTGGTTTCCTTTACATCTCTTTTCTAAGACCAAATACATGTAGTGCTAATGGTGCCGATAACACGAGTGATGTAATTCTTTACAGGTCCCATAGCAGTGTTACGTAGATACCGCAGTTGATCCTCATGCTAGCTTGTGAGGCAGGTGTTCACATTTATATTACAGAAACAAGCCACACACCTGGTTCTGTTCTTACTGGGAAACAAACAGCTGGCGGTTAGGTAGTGGCATCGAGATTTTCAGGTGATCCTCATCTGCTAGAAATGTCTATAGGTGAAACCAAAAACCAAACTCATTGCATTCGAGTTACTGCCAACTCACAGTAGATTTAGGGTCAATGTATTAATTTTTTTTCTTCTCCAATTTTCTTCGTTAGGCATCTGAAGAAGCCTCCCTGAGGGCACTGGAAAGTCTGATGACAGAGTTTTTCCACGACTGCACAACCAATGAAAGAAAACGGGAGATAGGTAAGTGGCATGCTGACTTGTCATTGCCAGTGAGAGCACCTGGCCACTTGGCTGCTTTGACCGTCACGCCTGCTTGTTTTCCTTTTGGGGGGGTGGGGGGTGGGGGCGCGAACTGTTTGCTCGCAATCTCTTGTTGGTTAGTGGTGAGGTCTGCAGACCCAGCTTTGAGGGTGCCCTTTGGAGCCCCTTCTCCCCCTCTTTTGCTCTTAGTTTCAGCAGTGTTGATGAACTTTATGAGATGATGTCTTTTGGTCTATTAATAAAAAATCGTCACACAGCATCAAAATGAACATGGTGTCAGTGGGCAGAGGTCTGATTTGACCCAGAGAGCTATCTTCTAGAACCTGCTTGGAAGTTTTACAGTCCCCACACCAACAGTATCCATTAACGCATACTGTAAGAGACTGGCGGCACTGAGATCCTGCAGCAGCCCTTTCCCTCCCCAATCCTTATTTGCCCCTGAACTTGAGGACGAAAATGTTTTTCACTGTCCAGATGTGAAGATTCCTTCCTTTGGGTGTGTGCCTACTCTGAGCGGACTTCACACTTGTCATTGCTTCTGCTTCCTTTCTGGAACCCCAGAGGCCCAGTTCCCTGTCCCATTTGGCCTTTCTCAATCACGTTGGCCAGTTGAATGCATTGACTATTTGATTCTGGTTCAAAGCTGGACTGGGGTCAGGATTCTGGGCGCCCAGTACGCAGGCTTTTGGCTGTGGCCCACTTTCCTCCTAATCTTTTAAGCATCATATCAGCTCCTTCTAATTTCCTTGGTATTTTTATTTTAAACCTTGTGATGCCTTTGTGACAGCCTCCTGCACGGTCCCCCCTTGCCCCTTTTTAAGGAAATATGCTTACTTCATAGAGCCCCAGAACCTTTTTAAACAAGCAGAGCCCAGTTGGTGACTCCTGCCTGGCTTAGTGTCATCTGCTCGCTCCCCTAGGTGTCCTCTCTATTACTCACTTGCTCTCACCCTCCTCTTGTCCCCAAAGCGATCCCCTGATTAGTTTTGTGCCACCAAA